AAACATATTGGACCCTCAGCAATAGTTGGATTAAAGAGAGCTGCAGCCAACTTGTTAGTTTGGCCTATCTTATATTCACTATTTTTCTGTCTTCATTCTTCAATATAGGGTTAGATCAGTAGTTTTGATGTTGGCTTAATAGGTTCTCATGATTGCATGGTTTGTATGATTTAATTGTTTTAGACATGCATAGTGCGCCAAAAGAAGGGGGAATGCTTATTTATTAGTATCATTCATTTTGACTGTTATAAATGTTAGAATCTGTGCTTTATGTTTATATTACAAATGGAGATTGGGATTTTAAATCACAGTCCTCAACTGTTGTAGACTTTGTGATCTGTCAATAAGCAATCCCCAATTGTCCTCTTTCCAATGCTATTTTCTGGATGAATGAACAATTTTTTCATGCATGCTGAATCATCATTTTTCTTGATTTTAAATTTATAATTTTCCATAACTTAAAATTGTTCATTTCCTCCTATATCTGTTCTAATAACAGCATAACATGATTTTGAAATGATGATTGTTGTTTCTGTGAAAAATTGCAGAAAAGTGAGTCTAATCAAAATATTTAATGAGTTTGTTGCAGAAATTGTGGGCAACTAGTTTGAACCATCCTGTCTCCTAATTTATGTTTATGCTTAATTTCATGAGATCAGTACCCTGTTCTATTATTTTTATTTTATTTTTTTGAAACATATTAGTACCTCATTTTAGTGCAAAGAGAATGTTGTCCTTCCCAAACTTGGATCTGTCCTGGGCAATTAAAACCTCGTTTGCTTTGAATTTTATTCTGGTAAGGAGTTTATCCTCTATCAAAATGGATAGTCAGATTCTCCTTATTGGAGTCCAGAATACATTGTAATATTTGAAATTTCTTCTTTCTTCTTTTTTTCTTTCTTTCTTTTGCATACAAGATGTTGATTTTATCTCCTATCTATAGTTTTCCATGTTGCTTTTATTTTAAAATCTAGTATAATTGGATAATTGGTGTATATCTTCAAGGCATTGCATAACTGAAGGCTTATTTTTGCAACCCGTTGAAGTAAATTTAAAACTCAGATCCCAGCATAGTGTGTTAAAGAATTTAGATTTGCTTATCTTAACCTTGAATCCATTAAGTGAAGCCAAGACAACTAACTCTTGTAGCTTAGTTGGTTAGAGCACCTGTTTGGGACACCTGACCATTAAATCAAAAGAAAAAAAAAAAAAGGAAGGGAAAATTAAGTGAAGCCAAGACAAAATTCACCTAGCAAGGATATAGTGTTACCACGTGAATATATTGTACTGGTTATATTTTTCTTGTTAGGGTTGGCATTAACCAACTATATGAAAGGCTACCTTTAATGTCGCGATCTTAAATTTAATGAAATTCTGTTTTAGGTTTTCATAGCGTTAGAATCTTATTCAATATCTTGCTTCTTGCAATTGAAGTCTTGAAATTTTGTTTTCATATACAGGTTGTGGTGTCCTTGGGAAGTGGACCATGGGATCAGCTATTTGGTGGGGGAAACTCACCAGCTTTTGCTGTTGCAGCAATTGCAGCCTTCACAAGTGGACTAATAGCAATTTTGGCTATTCCTCGAAGCAGTACCATTGCTCAGAAGCCCAGGGCCCTCATCTGAGGTATTTTAATGTTCCTAATTTATTTGTATCTAATCAAGATGAGTATTAAAGCATTCAGGTTCAGGAGGCCAAACCCTCACGTTTTTATTGATTTTCCCCTTACTATAACTTTCATTGTTAATTTGTAAATAGCTTCTGTTTGATATATTTATTAATAAAATCATTGTGATCTGAGGTCATGTTTGCCCTTTATTTTCTGCCCTTTCCTTTCCCAATTTGCCTTTAGAAATAGTGAAGAATGTACTTACGAGTTTCATTCTGGTGGTTGTTGGCTAGTAACTGGGTAAAAACTCTCGTCCTAGTTGTTAACTGTTACATGCAGACTACAATTTTTTGGTAAAGTAATATTCTGTATTTTGAAGCCTCCATTTACTAGTGGAAACGGTGGACAACCTTGTGCATAAGTAACAGTTGAAAATGACATCCAATGGAGCATTATTTTTGCATTCACATTAATGGAAACTTAAATATAATCCATAGAAATATCATTATTGTCAATTAATTCTGAATGAGACAAGTTCCCTATAACCAGTGGAGAATTTCTTAACATCAGCCATCCTGCTGGAGATGTTGGTGAGGCCTCAAGTGTGTATTTGAGAAATAGTCCCACAGCTGCTTACCACCAAGTTTAGTTGCTGCTGATTGGATCTATTCCTCACGAAAACATCATCTTTTTTCTCCTCTTTTGAAAGGCAATTTCCATTTCCCAGTTTGTGGTCCAGTCATGATGCATTGGAATCTCATGCATTTGGTGCTTGAACTGGTTGTGTGCATGTGATGAATTGTGCTTGGTGACCAACAGTAAGCATAAGAGTTGTGCTGATAGAAACCTTGATGGAGACATGTCTCTTATCTGATATTTAGGAAAGCTTGATTGATTTTTATTGAAGCCATTCTTTAAGATTTTTCTTTTCTATATCAAAAATTTTCCTCTCTTGTTGCTTGCATCTGAACCTTAGAATAAATTCTTGTGTTTATTGCACTTATCAGTATCTTGGGAAGGCTGTTTTGCTTTCAATGCTCCCATGCTCTGCTTTCTACCAACGCCGGAGAAGCATTTAGAAGGCTGGCCCTTAAGGAGTACAATTTGATTCCTCTTATTACCGTTATGTCAAAAGAAATCCTGTATGAAGACAAACATGGTGACATTTTTAGCTTTTGGGAATATGTCGTAAAAGGCAGAAAAGTTTCTGCTAGTGCCCATATAAATTTTTAAGAAATGCCATGACAAATGTCTGCTTGGTGCTCTGAAATTGCATGGATGTTGTGTGTGTGTGTGTATATATATATATATTATATATATATATATATATATGATAACAGGGCATGTGAAATGGAGAAAATAATGGGCGTCAGTGCCTGGAATTTCCTCTGTTCACAAAGCATCACTCTTTTTACCAGGAAAAGTATGGGCTTGAAGAGGTGTATAGAATCTGTGAATTTGTTCCTTACAGTTTCTAGAGAAGTATAATCTCATTTTTAATGTCAAATCCACGAAGGTCTTGTCACTTTTGCGTTCCTTTTCCCCCATTGAAACCAGCATTTGGTATATTTTCCTGCTGTGAGTTGTGATTGATTCCATTAACATTTTGTCTAAATTCCACTTTAACAGCAACTTGGTGTAGAAATGTGTTTTCTTGATTAACAGACACAGGGGAATATCAAGGAAGAGTATGTGATCCTAGAACTTGTCAATTTCTTTTGCTACAGCACTGGTGGGATCAACCTCTGGTGAGCCCCACTTCCCAATTAGATTGCTAAAAAGCCTAAAATTTTGAAATGCGTTTTTGTTTTTCTTTCCATTTCATTATCATGCATCATGCATCATCATTTGAAAATATATTTTATCTTGGAGGTGCATGATGTTTGTGCATTGGTTGGTGCTGCAATGACACATAGCTCTCATCTACAGAAACTAATTGATTAGCTGGAGACACATGGAGTCTGACATGGGTAGGGGGTGTGGATTTCAGGGTAGTATATATTTTTTATATTTATACAAGGATACAAAGGAAAAACTGATGCTTGAAGGGGCGGGCAGGGTGCCAGAAAGGCAAAAAAAATTGGAATTGTTCTACCTGTTTGGGAAGGGTGTGATGATGGTTGGGTTACAGAGAGACAGAGATGAGCGTGTTGTGAGAAAAGGGGTACAAGTTAATGGCTGCAATTGGAGCACGTAGTTGTCTCTCTCTATGTTCCCTTTCTTCCATCTGCCGGTTCTCCATACAGCCATCTTCTGTCATCCCTATTTAACACACCTTCAGTGGTCCCCATATCTTCACACAAATACCTACCTTTCCTCACACCCATGAAGATTACCTTTGTAAAAAATGATAATTTTACTAGATATGACACTTGGAAAACCCCACATGTTTTGTTCTTTTGGTTAAACTCAACTTACCTACAAAACATAGCATCATTTTGTTCCCTCAAATCAGAATATCAAGTACATTTTTCCTTGCACAGCCATTTCTTGCGTTGATCCTGTAAGGTTCTAGCCCAGCAATCTCATCAGTCTCGGTACCTTCTGGATTGCTGGGTAAGTCTCTTTTACCCATATTTCTCACTTCATTCGTGTATCATGACTCAGAATCCAAAACATCTAGCTAGCTTCAAACTTTGCATGAATTTCAAAAAATCATCTAGCACCAAACAAAAAGTGTTTAAACCTTTTACACTTCTAACCCCTCAATTGTTATTATATTATATCCCAAGTTTTCCATGATCCACTTCTTTACAGGGAGAAAACTCAACCACAACTTTCCCATTATTTGTTATTATATATCTGCAGACCCACACAGTCATTCTCTTGACTCTTTCCTATCAAATGTCAATTGCTCAAAAAGAATAAAACAGGCAGCGCAACACATGGGGTCTGTAAACAGAGTTTTACTCAAGATTTGTCACCACTTAATTGGGGAAAAGCCGTCGAGCCATGTTGGGGTTTGTTTGTAGAGGTTACAAAGAAAGAGCAAGTTATGATGCTAGGAGAGTGGGCTTCTTCCTTCACATGTGTTGTGCGAAATTAGAACATGCATGGCGCTGCCTTGCAACATGCATATACAATATAGATAAAATACATCTTCTCCCCCCCTTTTTTTTTTTTTTTTTTTGATGTGTTCCCTTTCCTTCTCCTATACAAAAATATACTCCATCCCTTTCTATCTCTCATTTTAATTGTTTCACTTTTTAAAAATAGTATAGCAATTTAATTGTTAATTTCTATTTTAAACAAAGCATTAGAAGTTCTTTTTCAAACTTTACCAATTTCATATTGATTCCTTTTCAAAATTTAAGAATTATTCCTGACCTTTTTATTAATTGACTCCCACTAGATATGTAATAGAATTTTACCATATAATAATAATTGTATTTTTATAGAATTTAATAATTTTTTTAACAAGTATACAAGAAAATAAAAAAAGAAAAACTCAATTTGTATTATGCAAATTACATTTCATTTAATCATTAATAAAATTATAAATGTTTTTTAGAATGTCCTCATAATCTAGTGATTATTTTTTTATTGTAAAGGATTTCTCATATTAAACTTGATAAATATAAAATTCAAATCCCACCCTCAATATAAATAATAAAGTTATAAATTTTTTAATATTAAAAATGTATTTTTTATTAATAGTTAAAAGTAAAATTGTATTACAATATTTCATAAAAAATTAAACGTGACAACTAAAATACAATAAAGGAGTACTCAGATTCTCCTCTCTTTCTCTCTTGTCATTTCACAACTAGGGACGTGGCCACTCCCACTCGGCAATTCAAGATTAATCTATCTTCGTATCTCTTCCAATACAGGACCCCAAAATAAACCTAAAGTGCACTGTTTTTAAACATTATCCATTTTCTTTAATCAAAAACACTAAATGCCAAAAAGGTCCCGCACCCCCATTCTATATCATTTGTACCAAACTATCTCATGGACAGAAGAGCTTATGGCGGTTAAAAACAATTCTTCCCATTCAAATCAATCATTCTTTTTGGGCTTTCAACTTTCACCACAATATGTTATGAAAATTGAAAAACATTAAGATTAGACAATAAATGCTGCACCCTTCCCCACCGCCACATTCCACTAGCCTCTTTTTGTCATTTTGTGACTAGTGTTTTTAACCAATTTTTTTTTAATAAGAGCACTAATTAGTAGATTAGTATTGTTAGATATTAGTAACTGAGAATTCGATTCCCAGATCTAATGAATAACTCATCGATTTTAATGAGACGCGCGACCATCAGGCCGCTTGATGGAGTTCTTAATCAATTTACACCTATTAAACTAAAGTTTTATCTTTCTTATTTAGTAGTGGAATTCCGCGTTAAGAATAAAAAGGAATTTTGTAAAAAATTATTTTCTTATAATCTTTAAACATTACTTCTAATCATGCAATTATCTAGCTTTTCCCACTCAATAATAGGGTTGAGGCTTAACTTTTAGAGCTGCGCCACTAAGAATATACAAATATTGTAGCGACTAGCTTTTTTTTAACATGTAAAGTGATAAAAATAATTGTAGAAGTGCGCTTCATTTTTTATAAATTATATTTCA